GCCCATGGTTTGCCGACTTTATAAATCTTTTTTAAAATCACCTTTTAGGAATTTTTAAATCATTTTTATCTTTTCTATTTTATTATATTCTACATCATCTCTTTGTGTTTGTTTCACTGTTATTTTTCTAGCTTCCTAAATAGTATGCTTAGCTTATTGATTTTTAGCCTGTTTTCTAATACATGCATTGAAAGCTTCTATACCCCACAAGTCTTCTTTGTCTTTCAAGTCTAAATGTTTTCTAATTTCTATTAAGATTTCTTTTTTGCTAAATTTTAAAAATTACTTTAAATTTTCAAACATATAGGGATTTGGTTATGTAGTATTATTGATTTTTAATTGTATTACGTTGTAGTTGGAACATGGTCTCTATAGTATCAGTTCTTTTGTATATGTTGAGGCTTGGTTTATGATCGGTTCGTATGAATGTGCCATTTGTGTTTTTAAAACATGTGTGTTCTTGGAATTTTAGGTATGAGCTATCGCTTATATTCAGGATATTAACTTTATTGTATACATTATATTCAGGATGTTAACTCTATTTGATCTATTAATTTCTGGGAATAGATGTTAAAAATGTGACTATGGATTTGTCCATTTCTTTTTGTAATTCTTTCCATTTTTGCTTTATTTTTTGAGCCCATGTTATGTGCATAAAAGCTCAGGGTTATTATATCTTTATAGAAAAATTAAATCTCTATTATTAGAATGACCATCTTTATCACTAAAAATGAAAATACATGCTTTATATCAACTTATCTGTTGTGTGTTTCTGTTGGCTAGTGTTTGCTAGGTCTGTATTCTTCTAGCCCTTTAATATTTCTATCACGTTATGTTTTGAGTGTATTTCTTGCAAAAGTTTTAAAGTATCTGAAATTTTTTCTCTCTCGTTCATGAGTTAGAGCCATTTATATTTATTGTGATTAGAGATGTAAAAGGATTTTTCTTCTTTTTTTATATAGTTACTGGTTTTTTTTTATTATTATTATTGCTTTGTTTTTCTCCTTCCAAGCCTTTTTATCCTAATCAAATCTTTATTTCTTTTGCCCTTTTGCATTTTTTAAAATTTGTGGATTTCATCCCACTCTTTCTGTATACATTAAAAAATTTAATACATTCATATTGAACTTAAAAATCCTCCTCAGTTAATTAGTAGCTCTACTTACATACCCCAAATTATAAGAACTTTAGAATGCTTTAACTCTTGTAAGGCCCTCCAATCTTCCATGTCACTTCTTCACCCTATTTTTAAGTCCCCTTGAAATTAGTCATCTTGCTGTTATAGACAGACAGGGCTTGATTAAACTGACCCGTGTTACTAGTTTTCTTGCTCACCATGGCTTCTTAAATCCTGTTTTCTCCCACTAAATTCAATATGCTTCCTCCAGAAGTATATTTCTTAGTATTTCTTTGAGTGAGTATCTGTGAGTGGAAACTCTTGGAGTTTGTCTGAAAATATCTTTATTTCACCCTTGCTCTTGAATGCTAAATAGCTAGGTATAGAATTTTGGTTGATACTAATTTCCTCTTATTATTCCATAATCTAGTAGTCTTTTTTTGCTGAGGAGTATTCTGTTTTCATCCTAATTAGTGTCCTTTTGCAGGTCACCTGTTTTTTAGGATTTTGCTTGCCTTTTGGTATTCTGCAGTTTCACTATAATATTGGTGGATATCAATTATTTTTTAGTTATTGTGCTTGAGATTTAATTAGCTTTTCTTAATCTGAAGATTTTATATCTTTTACTAATTCTGGAAAGATTTCAACTGTTTCTCTTTTTAAATATTGCATTCATATATGCTATAAACCTAATCATCTCTCAACTTTTTGGGATCATCACTCCTTTGCTTATCTCTTCTGCATGTCCAGTCTCTTCTACCTGTTGTAACAATCCCATTCACAAATTAACATGCCCTTAATGTCTCCCATCTTTCATTTAAAAAAAAAAAAATCTTCCTTGACCACATCTGTCCCTGGAGCTACCTCTTTGCTGTGCTGAACAACATCACCAACCTTCTCGATGAAGTCGCCTACGCATTTCTCCACTTCTACGCCTCCTGTGTATTCCTCAGTTCACCTGACTATGACTTCTGCCTTCGCTGATCCAAAGAAACCTTTCTCGCCAAGATTGCTAATGACTTTCACGTGTCTGAATTAGCGTTCCATCCTCGTTTACCTGGACCTCTTTCCAGCATTCAGCATGGCTTCTCCTTCCCCAACACTGTTCACCTCTTGGCTTCTGAGACACTTTATCTTCTTGGTTCTCTCCAAATGCTGGAGTGCTGTCGGCTTTGGATTGCACTGTGTTCCTCATTTTCTCTCTGTACCCCTAATCGTTTTTATTCATTCACGCGATTTTAAATACCATCTATTTGTCAGCGATGGCCAAATATATGCCTCCTGCTCTCATCCCTCCTGAGCTATTCAATTATATGTGAATTCCTGCTTGATCCTAGTACTTGAAATATTAGTGACATTTAAGCTTAAACTATTCAAAGCTGAATTCTTGAATTTTCTTCTCCCCAAAAGAGTCTCTTTTCTATTTCAGCCAATGGCATCCCCATCCGTCTGGTTTCTAAAGCTAGAATCTGGGAATCGTTCTTGAGTCCTCTCTCCTTCAAAGACCCGCATTTATTCTGTTATCGAGTCCTGTAAATTCTATCTTCAGAATGTATCTCAACTCCATCCACTTCCCGTCTCCACCCCCAGCATCCTAACCTTGGTCTCTATCATTTCTCAACCGGAAACCGAATCTCTCCCACTGTTAACATTCTCCGATCACTGTCCACACAGCGGTCAGAATATCATTTTTTTAAAAAAATCATCTTCTTACTTAAAATCCTTCAAGCACTTCCTTTTGGAACTAGATTGAAACCAAATCCACGCTCATTGATAAAGACGTCAAGGCCCTTTCCTCCCCTCGGCCTCGTCCTGGTCCCTGTCCCCCTCACTCTGGTGCTCTGGCCACCCCTTGGCCGTCCAGTCCTTCCGTCGCAGCTGCCCTTGCGCTTCTGCAGGGCCTCAGTCCATTCCTTCTGCCTGGAAGGCTTCGTTTCTGTCCCCCTTCGGGACCCACTCCTTCTCTTTCTTCAAGCAACCTGAGATCACCTTCCGAGGTAGGCCTTCCCGATTATCCTGGACAATCGGGAGCCTCTCTTAAATCTCGCAGGTGGCAGCCTCGTTTTCCCTTGGATGGCCCTTTCCTCGTCTCTCTTTTTTTAGAGTTGTATAATTTTACATATTGAATCAATCGTGCAATGCCAATCGTGTACTAACAACAGACATTGAGGCCACGGTTAACCAGCAGTCTCTTTGGAGCCTTTCTAGTAAAATACTAAGGACCCTTCGATCGCTGCGTTTGGGAAATGGTCACCTTTCCGTAGGAGGCATTACTGAGGAATTCTTCTGAGTGGGCTGAGAGGACCGTGGCATTTGGGCTCTGTGAGAAGGCAGGCGCCCTCCGGGACGGATTGTCTGCCGTCCCACGAGGAGCGCTTCGGCACGTTTCCGTGGCACTGCCTCGCGGAGCGATTCTCCAGGTTAGGGAGAATGATTCTGAGGTTGGTGTGTTTCATCGCTATTCAAAGCCAAAATGGCATAATGAGCAGTCTGCATGTGATAAACTCAAATACCAAAAGGCTATTGTAACTTAGTGTTAGTGCATAGAAACCACGGTCATAAGGTGCTATTTTAGATTTATTCACTTGCTTATTTTCTGTGCTTTTACAAGTCTGTGAGTTCCATTAAGAGGGAACCAGGTCTGTGTTGTTTGTCACTTGATACCTACTCAATTACTAGCATGTAGAAATAAAGATCTTGAAGCAGTGTCGTTTTTTTTAAGTAGAGCTCTGATGAGCATCTCCCCAAATCGTGACCATAGCTGTCATCCTGATTTTTTGTTAAGTAAAAGTAGTATACAGGCCTCCCAGTCTGTTAAAAAATATATTGTGCTGCATTTTTTCACTCGTTAGTGGAGGTTTAAACTTTAGAAGACCTTATATAATGTCTCATAATATTTTAATTTTGTAAAAATTTAAAACATTTTCATGCATATTCATATGCCTCCAAATAGACTGTCTGTGGTGGTTTTTGGTTTACCGTGGCCACATTTGCTTTCAAGGAATTTACTACCTCTGCTTCTTGAAACTCATTGTTGCTAGAGAACATGTATTTTTGTTTTGTTTTGTTTTGTTTTTTGTTTCAAATTATGACTTAATACGTGGTCCTGTCCCAGAAGGACCTGTGCCTGAATAACTAGAGATAACACCATCCTTACTTCATGATATTCAAAATGTTTAACAACAGGCTGAGGCACCAACCAATGAGACTGTTACCTCAGCCAGCAAGAGCAACTTCCAGTTTCTACATCCGTAGGCCATGCCAGGGCCTGCTGAGTACAGACCCTGTCTCTGGAGAAGGCAGATCTGTAGACCCTGTTCATAACCTTTGTTTTCAGCCATTTTCCTCACTTTTTTAATGTGCTTTTTGGAAGTGATTCAAAGCCTCAGAACCTTTTAATTATCCCACAATCATGCTTTATTTATACCTGCCTGGATATTCTACAGATGAGACAACTTTGGTCAAAAGGACACAGTAATTGAGTTCTGCCTTTCAGAACTTGCTGAGCTAAATGCAGGTTACAGAGACCAGCTCGGGCTGTCTTGGGTTTGTCCACACAGTCGTGCCTCGTTCGGGCTGGTGAGAGTCTCATTCTTTAGCTGATGGCATGGCCCTGTAGTCTTAGCGTTTCTCCACATTCCTTTCAGACCCTGGCCCTGGGCGTGGTAGATCGGTGGAGGATTCTCAAAGATCAAAGCACATCTTTGTTCTACTCTCAGCCTCTTTACAACTCTGCCTCACTGGAAAGAAAAGGCCCAGTGAGGGATGCTCATTCCCGCTACGGCCTTTGCGTCTTGGCTTCATGTATTTGTGTCATGTCTGAGGCCACCTGCCTCCAAATGACTCTGAATTTTCTGACTCTTTTCTTCTGTTCGGATTGCAGGTGCACACATTCCGAGGTCCGCACTGGTGTGAATACTGTGCCAACTTCATGTGGGGGCTCATCGCCCAAGGGGTCCGGTGCTCAGGTAGACACAGAACTTTCTTTATCCTTTTCCATTTATGTAAAGTGCCACCATGTTGAGCTGGAGACATCTCTCCAGAGCTGGAAAACAGGGTCCGATTAGCTCGAAAGTCTAGCTTTCGTAAAGGTTTGAGGCATCTTTGTGCTTAATGGAAAGACTCTATTAATATCACATGTTTATGCAAGAAAAGAAAAAAATTCCAAGCAAGTACATGTCTTTAGGCAACTGCCTGCCACCTACAATAAGTAACAGTCCTTAAAAGAAAAGGAAATAAATTCCAATGGAATTGCATAGATAAAACACACACACACACACACACACACACACTAATTCCAATGGAATTGCATAGATTAAAAAAAAAAAACAACACACATTTCTTTCCCGTCCCCACTTTACTACAAAAGGGATGGCCTAAAAATAATAATACTGGTGAACGTTGACCACACACCAGGCACTGAGCTAAGCACTTTCTGTTTATCACTCCTTATAGCCTCACCAACAAACGACAGGGGAGATGTCATTATGCTCCATCATATAGGTGAAGAAACTGAGGCTTCCAGGCCACTGTTAATTGCCCTTGGCCACATAGTAAGTGGTGGAACATTAATTCAACTCCAGAGCCCTGCTCAGTATTTTTCTGCCATCGGATACGATGAAACTGCACACCTTAATTTGATATCACATATTTTCAAAACACTTTGAAACCCTAGGTGTTTTTCCACCTAGAACTGGACGTACACCCCCATTGCTAACAGCACACAACACATCTTATGAAGATACAGCTAACAAAAATAGCAACGAATCGCCAAATCGATGTGTGACTGAGAGTCCTGATTCATCTCGCCATGCTTTTTCTGGCAAGCAGTTCTGGCCAGGAGCAAGAACAGCCTTCTATGATGTATTGATTGGGTTTCCATCAACACCATGACTGATTTTTTTTTCCTTGCTAGGGTATGACTTGAAAACATAACTCTTATGAAGCGTTTAAAATAAAAATAAGCTGATGATAGTACATTGCAATGATCTATCTTCCCACGTTACCCATTTTGCTTCACAGGATCAAGGGACCTTAAGTTCTTTCTCTACTTGAAAGGCACGATCTCAGCTTCTCCTGGGTAGACGCAGCAATTGCTGGTGGAAATACCTGGATGGTTCAAGTAGGGCTCATATTAGTCAGTTGACTATACCTGTCTCCATCCCAGATCCATGAGCAGAAAACAAAGGCTCGAAGCAGTCTTTCCAGAAATGTTCCAAATACCCTGATTAACAGAAAAGTCATACTTCCTACAAAGTATCTCACAGCTCCACCATTGGGCAAAGTGGTAGAATACCTGAATTACTCGGTGGTCATTAATTCAGCCTGCTCCACCTGACTATACCTATGAAAAATATCTCTAATTGCTGATACT